CGGCACTGAACTGAGGTTGGCAGGCTGTGCCACCTGGTTATTCAAGGCATTCTCAGCCTTATAACCAGTCGGCTGCATCTCCACTGGACGAGCGGGAACGTGCACAGAAACAGGAACGCCAGGCTCCTCTTTCTTCTGCGCAGATAGCCGTGGTGAGATAGTCCTGGGCCCTAAAGAGTGTCTTTCGCTATTTCGGGTTGACAGGTGAGATGAAACTGCAGATAGGGGCGAAGGAACTGGTGAAGATAACGAAGGCAACCAAAGGCAAGGGCCGCCGACTGACATGGTAAGGGTCTGGTTTGGGTATGTGTGTGTATATATGTGTGTGGCCCTTACCCACGATAGTATGAAACCAAAGACAAGATTCTCGTTTGAAAAGGGAAAAGAATTAGAGTCAAGACTTTTCGTCAACAGAAACAATAGGAGAAATCCTAGCCCAAAGAGGAAACGGTAGAATCCCCCCGATATGAGACGTTGGTGGGTCTGATCGAAGCGCCGTTTAAAAAAAAAAAAGGATCAAGGTTTCTTCTGCAATTTAAAGTAAAGGGTGAAGCTGTTTTGTTCCAGAATTTAGAGAAAATAAGAAAGGGGATTAAGGGCGCCAAAAGGCATGTCAGGTGAAGAAGAACCGGTGTGTCTTCCAGAAGAGGAGAAAAGAGGGAAAAAACAAGGCCTAAACGAGGATAAGACGTCAAGCGGGACAACTGTCTCCAGCCTTTATTCTTTTTTTTTTTTTTTTTTTTTTCCCTTCCCTCCCTCTGGTTCTTAGATCGGTTCCGATTGATTCAGATGATCGTTACGCAGCTGGGCAGTAGTTATAAGATGTTGAGAAAGAAGCATCCACCAAGGTAAAAAGGTGGTACCTGGGACACCCAATGCCGCTAAACTAGGATCGACCGGAGATATCCTGTGAGGCAAATAGCTGTTAATAGCCAGGCGAGGCAACAGTGGGAATACAGGGATATTAAAGGGAATGGCCCCAGGGTCCACCACTATAGCCACCCGATAAATCCCATGTACAACATATACAACTGGGAATATAATACTTTGTGCTCCCCGTATCCTTCTTTATCTTCTAGCCTATATATATGAGAATATTCAAGTCCAAAAGGAAGAACTAAGATAGCATGAATACAGGCACTTCAACTCAATCCATTCTCAGAGGGTGGGCCCGAGGGGTGAGACTTAATGTTGTACATGTATGGAGTACAGTGTAGAAAGTCCAACAGATCACAGACTCAGTCCACAGATCAGCACCCAGATCTATTTACCTGGATGAAGATCCTATACCAAACGGTCCATAGCGGCAGCCGTTAACCTCGTTGGTAAAACATCAGGTTACAGATGGTATAGATGGTATGGGACGGTACGGGTGACTACTAGTATCAGGATCAGAAACTAAAAGGATCGGCTCGGAGAATATAATTGCCTCCGATCCAATGCACATAACTGGCTTAAGCCCTTTTACCCATAAGGCGTCCCTGGATACGATGTGACAGGTACCTAAATAATACGGGGTAAGAGAATAGCTAGAAGTCTGCTGTACATAGAACAACAAAGACTCTACCATCGTAACGAACGTTCAAGGGGTATGGATCCATGGGAATGTGGGAATAGTATGGTCTGTCTAAGCTGAAAACTTGGGAACCACCACGTCAAGTCAGCTCAAGCTTAGACGATAAAGGGGATATATGGGTCCCGCGGGACCCGGGACCAGGGAAAGAAAGAAAAGGAAAGATAAAGGGGAGAGACAATGCCCCTACTTGTATGTCTTTTTCTTTTGTTCTCGATGTATATCGAAGGAAATGGAATTAATGGGTCTCGTATTCGTATAGGAAGTACGAAGTAGACAGTAATAGAAAAAAAAAAAAAAAAAAAAAAAAAAGAAAAGAAAACCCCCGTAACAGATGTGAGACCGCGACACGCATACTAGGCCATGTGGAAAGGACCGGTCGGCTGTGTTAGTGGCGTGCTGGAGGGATCCATAAGCGGAACCCTACGCTGGGCCCTCAGAGCTATCCAAGAGAGCCACTCAGCGGGCTGCCCGCCACATCTCCATGGATGCCTCGGAAAGAAGCGAAGGTGGTGACAGGGATAAAAAAGGGGGGGAAGGAATTAGGAAATTTGGGAGAATATGTTGTAAATTAAAAAACAATATATAGAATTTATACATAATATATATAAAATTCAATCAGGAGTGCTGAATCAATATAGAGAGAACCATATTAACCATATTTGAAACTTCAGTAATGGGTCCCGTTTTCCCGGAGCGATATACAACATAGTCTTTGTAGAGCCTCGTCCGAAGGGAAATCCGATAGCTCCGTTGATTAAGAACGGCGGTTACCTTTTTCAGGAAAGACCACCAAGCGGGCCTTGCGCAATGAAAATCATGGAATTAGCAAAGAGGCTGGCCTATTTAGCGAGACATGGCTCGGTAGTTGAAGAGACAGCTCCCCTAGAAATCTCCACAAATGATATGAAACAATTCGAGTCGCAGGTGAAATGAGGCGCTGTCGGTACAATAAATACTCCGTGATATTTTCCGTGAGATCCATGTGGGTCAACAAGGGCTGACGAAGAGTATCGGGTATATCGGATATCGGGATAGGATTAAAAGGGCAACAGGGAGCTCGGGATACCTAGAGGTCTGGATATCAGTTGTTTTTCCATATAATCAATACCTCCATGTACAACATAGATATATCAAGTACACCAAGTAGATCAAGTCCCAAGCCGCTTATTCTCCAATGTGGAGTTCGGAGGAGAAAACTCGGAGCCGTTGGATTTCGATCATAGAATGTCGATCGTTAGGCCGTTTTTATTTATTTATTTTATTACTGTTTCGTCTTAAAGACCCTGAACAGAAAAAAAAAAAAGAAAAAAAATAAATTAAACAAAAATCAGGATCAGGATGACACCGTTGCACCGTATGATGTCCTTGTAATCTCCCTTCTGGAACGTGCGGTGCGGGGAAAGTAGATCGAGTACAGCATACGGAGTACATACGCGGTATACAGAGTATAGACATTATCTTTTGTACATATACAGATATAATACAGCAATCAAACGTATGGTACACATGCACAAAATACTGTACTTTATTCCCACCGGACTTTACATTAAGCGGGTGACGCAAGCCGATCTCTTGGCGTGATGGAGGGGATGGACCTTTCCCCTTGATTAAAGAATTAATCTAATCTAATAAGTTCTAGTATAATATACCGTGCAGTATGGATATAAAGTACGTAGAGAATAGAGTATTTTCTGCAAACTATACTTTTGTACATTTACTATACTAACGGAGTGCATGAGTACACGTAGGTTGTAGTTAGTATACATGTCCAGGTCCCGATCTAGAATGTTGAATATTGCCGTTTTGCCTAAACAGAACCACAGTGGATCACAGATACACAGATAAAAAAAAGAAAATAAACGAAAAAAGAAAAACACGGACTTTATCTCAAGCCTAGTCGGGCCATCCATACTCCGTCCTCCGTAGATGGAGTATGCCTAGACATGTTATACTCCATAGAGAGTAATCAATGTCAATCTTAGTCCACATGGTCAATGCATTCAGATCGGACCACATGGCCACCGTTATACTCCGTCCACCTCCTTCTCTTTTGTACGGTCCACTGGTGGAGATCTAACTCGACGCTTGTGTCGATAGCGGTTCAGACTGTTGTCCCATGTGGCTTTTACGCTTTTGATTTATTTTGTCTAGTGTATCTAGTGGACGGAGTAGTGGACACTAGAATAGTCTAGGAGAGTGCACCGAACCCCAGACGATCAGTGCGCGATTTTTCCTGGCTTCGAACATCATCACGAACTACTCCGTCCTCCGTATACCGTATATGGACAAAGGATTCTTCCAGGAGCTGACGAAAAAAGGGGGCCAAACTAAGTGGACAAGAAAAAAAAAAACAGTGCCCACTTCTGCAATTAATGGGTCAATTGGGGGGTTTTTCGTGTTTCTCGTGTATAATGTACTCCTGGAGACTTGCCAGGTTACTCCATATTCTCCTTTTTTGATTATTATTTGGTTCCGATGAACTCACTTACCTAGGTAATCTTACTACCTACTAACTAACTACTTAATCAGAAACCACTTAATCTTACTCTGTACTTTGTCCTCAGTTTCTCATTGATGCAAAAAATAAGAAAAAATATGGAAAAATTGTAAAAGTGAAACATGGCTGGGACGCCAACGCCACCGGTGATAAATTACTTCTGGAGAAAGCAGAATGTGATTATTTCTTTTTCTACTTTAGCTACTTCATGCAGGAACCATTTCAAGTGTTTTATATTAGAGTTGCCGATCAGCTAAAGCATTGTAGTCTCCACGTTGGCTGGTTGATTGAGGTCTCCAGGGCGTTAGTCTCTCCATTGCCCCGGGTATGAACTTTCGTCACTTCTGTTGGTGACCCGCTTCCCGTAGAATGCTGGATTTGGTTCAAAAGTCATGCCCGCAATCGGCCAATCGGCCCAACTGGTGTGTGATTTAGTTCCGGTTTAAGCGCCATCCTTGTCCGTCTCTGCTCCGATGAAGCTGGACCGATGCCGACCTTGACGAGGGGAGTTCTTGAAAAAGGAAAAAAAAGAAAGAAAGAAAGAAAAAAAGGCTCGTGAAATCAACCCCAATTAGGTCAGACACAGGTTAAACTCTGCCGGTAAGGAGGATCCAGGACGCACTTTGATATTCGTATTCGGCCAAAAAAAAAAAAAAAAAAAAACCCCCCAAGTGCTGAATCGTCCCAACAGATGTGTCGTAGATAGTGCAGGTGCACGGACGTGGTAATCTCGCTCTCAATTCACGGCGTCAACGGTGCTGTGATATTGATGCAGGAAACCCTGTAAGTTGCCTGGTAAATCTGGATGTGGTTGGCCGCGGCGTGACTGCGCCAGACGGTGCCTGCCCATTGGGGGATTTTCTCCGGACAAAAGGGGGTCAAAGCCATGGAGTATCCAACAGAATATCTTCAAGCCACAATCTGGCTTTACGTGGCAGAGTCCTCTTTGGAGGCGCTAGCGGCGGCAAGGGCCTCTTCGTTGTTGTCATCCGGGTTTTGTTTTTGACTGATGACGTCTTTGTTTTCGACTTGCATTTCCTGTTCACCTGTACCCTGGGGTAGACCCTGAAGGCTCTGAGCACCCTCAGATTGGCCAGCTGTCTCGACCTTGCCCTCAATAGGCTTTTCGGACTTAGCAGCCTCGCCCGCTTCAGCGGGCTCTTTTTTGGTTTCAATAGGCAGATCCTGAGCTCCATCAAGGGACTGAGAGATATCCTTGGTATCCCCAGAGGAAGTGAGCTCATTGTTATCCTCAGTCGCTGTGGCACTCTCGAACAATACCTGTAGGTTGTTGCCCTCTCCAATTTTGTCGAATGCAGCGAGCTTTCCTTTCGCAGCAAGACGTAAGATTCGCCAGGACTTGCTGGCTTTAGCGCCTTCGGCAATCGCCTTATCCTCGTCGGTCATCGCCATATCGATGTCCATTTCATCATCCATGATGCCCTTTAGGAACGAATCCGCAGAAGGAACGCTGTATCGGTCGGATTCCTTGAGACGCTCAATATTGGCCAGCGCCTCTGTGTCGGCAAGGAACTTTAAATCGAGAGAGCCCATCGGGGACGGACGAAGGCGTTTGTTGGCATGCGCTTTGCTGGCATGCTCGCGGGAAGTGGTGTACTCCGCCGCCGAGATGGCCGGTCGTTCAATCAATGGACAGCCTTCGGCTTTCCACCGTACCCAGTTCTTGTCTCGAGACAAGACCGTGTCCACCATGCGATAGTAGAACTTGCCCCCGGGTCCTTGTTGCAGATATCCCTCGATGCTTTTTCGCATGCCGGTTGCCCACTTGGTATCCTCCTCGTTCAAAGTGAAACCGTAGAGAACGGACTTGTTCGTCGTATTGGCCAGACGCGATTTGGACTTTGATGTGAGAGAAAGCACAAAATCGAGGAGAATAAGAGCCTGTACAAGAACATGCCGTCGGAAGGCAGTATCGCTGATCTCGAGGTCAAATAGATCCCGGCTGGTCAAGTACTTCGGATTGAAGCTGGTGGCGACTTCAGTACCGTCCGCGATGCGCTTGCGCTTGTTTGACTTGCGAGCATCTTCTGAGGCTCGGGCAGAGCTCTCGTTCTCCATCTCAGTGTTGATGTTCTTGAATGCAGCAAGCGTAGCTTCCATTCCAGTCTTGAACGAGGTAAACCGTTCAGCATCGAACATCTTGCTCGGTGCGGAGAAATAGGCCTGAAGGCTCCAGAAGAGCGGATAGAGCGCGTTCAAGTCGACTTTGTCTGATTTCTTCTCATCACCTGTAGAAATAATAACCCTGGGCAATTTCGAGGTCTCAGCCTGGCCCGCCGCTGCCTCTCCGGGTGCCGTGGGTTCAGCCCTTTCACTCATTGTTGTATCCTGTCCCTTCTGCTCGGTAGACTCTTCCGCAATTTCGTCAAAAGTTGTAACATTCTCAGAGTGGAACTCGCCGCGAAGGTTAACCGAACTCTTGTCTCCAAGCGGAAAACTCTGGAAGAGATAGATAAACACCCGACCACAAAACACTGTATCTTCTGCGCGCGAGAGCCGGCGAAGAAGTTCGTTGCACGATCGTAGAATAACTAAGCTTTTCTGTTTGAAGTGTTTCTTTTGCGGGGTCAGCTTTGCGACAGATCTAGTAGATGGGGAACTATGCTAACCTTCGTGTTCCTCTCCCTTCGGGACTCCAAGTAGTCGAACACCTTGCGACAGCCATCAATGGTTTGACTATCCAAGAGCTCTTCAATGAGCCAGAAAATAAGGCCGGGTTCGCATTGTTCTGGTGGTTGTTAGAGCCATATGGAGTGCGGACAGAGTGCAGAGACTGACCATTATCAGAAAAGATGGAGACGATGTCAAGGAGGTTCCATATTTGAATGAAAGCAGGGTCATCGATGGAAGTCGAGGCCTATGACGAACTGTTAACAATGCCCTGGGGACTCGAGGGTTGTACAGGTCGTACCAAAACGCGATAGAACTTCTCGCGAAACGCGATTTCTACGGCCGCAATCTTAGTCTGTGGATTTAGATGCTTTGTAGCCTTGTTATCCTCAGACGGCACTTGCCATATCGATTCGCCCAGGTGTGTTTCGGTCAAAGGGGGTTCGATCTGCTTGTCGGGCTTGACCTGCGCGGCGCGATCCAGGAGACTGTCCACTAGTCTTTTGTAGATCTGGACACCAGCAATGTCCTCGTTCGCCATTTTCTGAAGTGTTTACCCAGGTGCCTTCGTAAGGGACCCTTGAGGGGTTGTGTCAAAGTGTCGAATCGGACTGTCGTCTCGGGCGTGTTCGTAGGCGTCTTCTCGAGCGTCTTTTTGGGCCTTGGAATTTCCTTGCTTGCGGTCTTCAGCTTCCTCTCAAGAGTCTCTTCAATTGTCCTTCGAAGACGAGTTACAAGAGGAAGAATAAAGTTTGGATGAGTGTAGGAAGGTGGGAAACAAAGTGGTCGGATTGATTGAGGTCTGCGGCTCGGCGGAATTGAAAGCCAAGACTTTTTGAAAAGCTCCCCCAGCTTCACCAATCCAGATGTTCCCGACTGCGCCAATCCACCCCTCCTTGACCAACTCCAATTTATTAGGTTAAGGAAACTATTGACTACTGCGATGGCGCAGAGTCTCGAATCCAGGCCTACAGTGGTGGACTTTCGTGAAGAAAGCCCGTGGGTGCAGCTAGCCAAGGCCCACTGGCTGAACTCGAAGGTCCGCAAGGCCAAACCAGATGTGATCAAGAAGCAATTGTGGGATCCTTTGGAAGCAGAGGCTTTCAACAGCCGCTCACTATTGATCCTCGAGAACCTGAACATTCTTGAGAAGTAAGTTATCTGTATCCATGCCCACAGGGCTAACGCTAACTGTTCTCTAGGTTCCTTTGGCCGACTTACACAGAGGATGCGTCAAATCATCATGTAATGTTGATTGCATTGATCGTCAGCGCGAAGCATCGGGAGCACTTGCCGATATGGGGTGAGTCAACGCGACAAGATCTATAACGCGGCGAAGCTGACAGTTGCAGATATCTTCTCCGACCGCGCCGATGACTTCTCTAATCTCTTCCACCGTATTCTCTCCATGAGCATTGATGTTTCACTTCCGACTCGCTCTCGACTTTCTATCATATCGTTTATTATCAGCGCCTTCCAGTCGCTCGAGAACGTCCTGATCCGCAAAGAATGCGCCCCGCTCGTTTCTATCTCAGTCTGGCACAACCTGGCCAGCGAGGAGACTAGAGATCGTATTGTTGCAAAGGCTCCAACACTGAAAAAGGCATGGAGAGCCTCTGCGAAGCGATACGACGCTGGAGATGAAGCAGCGAAAGCAAAGATGCGATTCGAACGTTCATGGCTATATACGATGCTCTTGGATTTCCTTCATAGGTTGAACGGACCCGAAAAGGACCAGGCTGAGAACTTGCTATACTGTGAACGTTTCCTTGAGCTCTTGGTGGATCTCGAAAGTCAGCTTCCCACCAGGCGCTACGTGAACACGCTGTTGAAGGACCTCAACCTTCTGTCGGTTATTCGCCTTTCACAGCTCTACCGTGTACCTGATAATGCTCTCCTTCGCGACTTCCACAGCCTTCTCAAACATTTTGTCGAATTTGCAATTGACGATTACTCTGGTGAGGCTCTTCCCCCCAGGGAGTCTACGACCTGCATTGCCAGGAATTGGCCCAACTGCAAAGAACCTCCATGAAGTTCTTCAAAGACAAGCTCACGATTCTCGCGCTCTCCAATATGGGGTCAATTGCGCAGCGAGAGGATCTAGAGGGACAGCTATCTTCTCTAGACGAGTCGGAACTCCAGAGCCTTTGCTCTCACCTAGGATTCCGCACAAGCTACCCAAAATCTTCGCACGTCACCCCAGACCGTCAGTTCTACCTGGAGGTCTTGGCATCTTCTTATGAACGCAAGGTGCCCTTCCAAGAAGTTGTCGAGAAGTTGAGTCCACTTCCGACAGAAGAAACCCTCTATGACCCGGCTTTGCTGAGGAATGAGACATACGACGGATCGAGGCCTCTGGCAATCCCAAAGTTGAATCTCCAGTATCTGAGTCTCGGAGATTTCCTTTGGCGCTCCTTCCTTCTCTACCGATCCGAAGCATTCTTCCAAATCCGCAAGGACATGGAGTCCCTCGTTAAACGCATGCAGCCAAAGGCAACGCGCGATGGAACCTTGAACTTTGAAGGTTTCTCTCGAATGGCCATTCCAATTTCAAAGCCTGCTATCATTGATGTTGCACCACCAAGGGTCGGGGCAGCAACCCCGGCCTTTGTTCGAGCGGAGATCGCGATAGAAGTGGGAAGACTTGCAGATAATGTTAGGAGAGAATGGGATTCACTCCGTCCCGATGACGTTGTCTATCTTTTGGCGGTCCAGTCCAGCTCGTCACAGTCGGAACAAGGTGCATCTGAAGCCGCTCGGATGACCCATCTTCGAACGGCCGAGATCGTACAGGTACTTGACGAGCAAGGCCGCGCATTGCGACAATCTACTGGCCAGGCAAATGGCTCTCAACCCAGAGCACGATTGAGGAGATTGATCGTAAACTTGGACGCGGCTGCATTCAAAGCCGACAAGGACCAGCAGGCCCACGGCAAACCGGACATTTACCCCCTCATCAACGTGGTTGCACGGAGAAAGGGCAGGGAAAATAACTTCAAGTCAATTCTGCAGACGATGCAAAAGCTTATCGTTTCTGATATGACGCTTCCTTCTTGGCTCCAGGATATCTTCCTGGGCTATGGAGATCCCGCTAGTGCTCGATACACGCAACTGCCAAACAGACTTAGCACTGTCGACTTCCGAGACACACTTTTGGATTGGTCGCATTTGGTGGAAAGCTTCCCGGGCATTGAACCGTCGGGGGCTGAGAATGCCAGCTTTGGTCCGCCCTACGTGCTTGAATATGTTAACCAAGAGTCTGCAGCAGAGCCTCACGCGCCGAAGAGGCGACGCCGAGAACAAGCCGCCGAGACAGAGCTGGTGCCTAGCAATATGCGTGTTTCCACATATAAGCCACCAAACCCTGGTCCCTACCCTGTCGACACTCCAAAATTGAACAAGATCCGATTCACCCCGGCCCAAGTGGAAGCCATCGCATCTGGAACACAGCCTGGGCTCACCGTCATCGTGGGACCGCCTGGTACTGGAAAGACCGATGTCACCACCCAAATCATTAACAACATTTACCATAACTTCCCCGATGAACGAACACTACTCATTGCACACAGCAACCAAGCCCTCAATCAATTATTCCAGAAAATTATTGCTCTTGATATTGATGAACGGCACTTGTTGCGTCTGGGCCACGGCGAGGAAGAATTGGACACTGATTCCAACTACAGCAAGTATGGTCGAGTCGAATCCTTCCTTGACAACCGCAACCATTACCTGTCAGAAGTGATGCGCTTGGCAGCATCAATTGGGGTCGAGGGTGCGCATGGAAATTCATGCGAGACTGCAGGCTACTTCAATACAGTTTACGTGCAGCCAACATGGGCCAAATTCTGGGATCGAGCCAATGCCGAAGGAACATCAAATGAAGATATTATCGCATCCTTCCCGTTCCAATCATACTTTGCAAATGCTCCCCAGCCCCTATTCGAAGCTGTAGCCGCGAAGGAGGCAATTATCGACACTGCTGCAGGCTGCGAACGTCACATCGCTCGAATTTTCTCCGAGTTGGAGGACATCCGGCCATTCGAGATCTTGAGACAACCTCGCGATAAAGCGAACTATCTCCTCGTAAAGGAGGCACGAATCATCGCGATGACCTCGACCCACGCAGCTATGCGTCGGCAAGAAATTGCCGATCTAGGCTTCCACTACGACAATGTGGTCATGGAAGAAGCGGCGCAGATTACTGAAGTTGAGAGTTTCATCCCCAACGCTCTGCAAAACATGAAGAACGGCGAGCTTCCGCTCAAGCGTGTTGTTCTCTGTGGTGATCACCACCAGAACTCGCCCATCATTCAAAACATGGCTTTCCGTCAATATGCTCACTTCGAGCAAAGTCTCTTCTTGCGACTGGCGCGGTTGGGTGTCCCAGTAATCAACTTGGATAAGCAGGGACGCGCACGACCTAGCATTGCAGAGCTCTTCCGCTGGCGGTACAAGCAACTCGGAGATCTTCCGGTGGTCGAAACTGCCCCTGAGTACCAGCAGGCCAACGCCGGGTTCCAGTTCGACTACCAGTTCATCAATGTCCCCGACTACCAGGGTTCTGGAGAGCGAGAGCCGACACCTCACTTTATCCAGAATTTGGGTGAAGCCGAGTACGCAGTGGCCATGTATCAGTACATGCGACTCTTGGGCTATCCTGCTTCTAAAATCTCGATCTTAGCCACATATGCTGGGCAGACGGCTTTGATCCGGGATGTATTGAGTCACCGCTGTGGAAAGAACCCCATGTTTGGAATGCCCAAGATTGTGACGACAGTGGATCGCTACCAGGGAGAGCAGAATGATTGTGAGTTGACTTCCTCCCAAAGCGTACTTGCATCACTCAAAATATCGGAATTGCTAACATTTTTCCAGACGTGATCCTTTCTCTCACCAGAACTCGTAGCGTCGGATACCTGCGCGATGTTCGCCGTCTGACCGTCGCTCTCTCCCGCGCACGACTAGGTCTGTATATCCTCGGCCGACGAGAAGTCTTCGAATCGTGCTACGAACTCAAGCCCGCATTTGACCTTCTTCTGCAACGACCGGATAAGCTCATGCTCGCGCCTGGCGAGATGTTCCCGTCGTCGCGGGAAGCCAGCGCCGCTATTGAGGGCACACCGATGGAAAGTGTCGAGCACCTTGGACAGTACGTGTTTGAGATGACGCAGGCCAAAGTCAAGGCTATGGATGATGGAGATATCACCATTGAGGATGCGGCGCCGGCTGGCGAAGATGAATATTTGGATGAGGATGAGGCTATGGGAGCTGCTGATGGGGATGAAGATATTGTATGAATTGTTTTGCAAATGGTAACAGCAGCACCCAATAAAGGGATTTGTTGGATGATTGGAACTATTCCATATTTTCTGCTTCTTTGCATTCTGAGAGGGCTCTTGAAAGGGCAATTTATTTTACAGATTACATGGTTATCTACTACATGACAGCACTCAGTAAATGAAACTTGCGTAGAATTTTTGGTCTCAGGCAGAATGGTATCATTTGGGGATATGAATAGACTCATTGTGTTCTATAATCAGTCTTCTCTGGCGACTTGGATTTGCTCTTCTCTTCGGGCCTCTTTCAATGTTCTCAATTACTTGAAGTAGATGTGAGACTTGTTCGATCAAAATGCTCCGGTTTCCATCGATCATAATACCCGATTTCGTTCTCATTGGTCCCTGAGCTTGTTTATTTCCTCCACAATATTATTGGGATCTTTCCAAGCCTGGGTCACATACCTAAGCGACATTAGCGGTTTATTTTCGGAAATAGGATAGGTTACATACTTGGTGTGGCTCCCACGGGCAACGACATGTCCGTTGGGGTCCGTGAACTTGATGTTTGTGAAAGCAAGGGTCTTGCCAACTAAACCCGGCTAGTTAGTTGATGGCCAACAAATTAAGCAAAGAGATGCGATGAAGAAGTCAGATAGCGTACATTTATCACAAGTCACCTCCTGACGTTGAAAGTTAGTACCCGTTTGGTAAGACCGAGAGGGATAGATGGAGAAAGAAAAGACATACGGCTAGGATTCGGTCACCAACTTTGCCACCTGAGTTCAAGTATGTGACTAGAGGGGTTTATCAGAAACAGAGAAGTTGGATGGGACACCCTATTTTATACACTTACCGTTCAGGTCTGTTGACACACCCGTCGAGAACAAGCCGCGAGAAGCCACAGCTAATGAGCCTCCGAGGTCGACTAGAACATATTTTAGCCAAGTATCACAAATTGAGTGCCACACAGAATTATCTCCTACCCATGCTCGCAATGGTACCTCCATGAAGGATATTCAGGCGGTTCTAAATGATATAGATGTCAGAGACAACGTTCCATGTGAGAAGTTGGGTCTTTAAAAGGTTCCCAACTATGCTTGCTAGAGAGTCTGCAGCACAATGAGACATACTGTATGCTCCTTCTGAATATCCAGCTCAAAGTTGACCACACCGGGCCTAGCGGCTGTAACACGGAGCTATAGTAGAGGTCGGTGATTAGTTCAACGAAACTGCTAGGGAGCTGGCTCAGACTTACATTATTCAATAGACTTTAGTTGAATTAAAGTGAGATGTTAATTCTTTTCTAATATCTCAAAGGTAAAGGTAAGTTGGGACGAATTCCATACCGAGGCTCCAGACCCGAGGTAGCTCGGAAGGACTCCCAGACCTATAGATAGCGATATGTGTTAGTAGGAAGTGAATGATAGGCGATGAAGGTCTTGTTATTTACCGAGCGGACAAATCTAAGAGAAGCCATTTCTAAGAAAGTGACAAATTGACAAATATCCTGGGGATGGAATGATATAGGGAGGAGTTAACAAGTCCAACATTCTACTTGATCCGGCGACTCGGGAGCACCCCGGAACTGCACTTTATGGCCGCTTCGGTCACCCTACCAGCATCATTTCATCCAACCACTTCACCCAGACACTTTCTTCTTTTCAGTTGCCTGGGAACTTGGTTTCTCACAGCTCAGTATGGCGAGTGCAACATCCCGTCCTCTGGAGTACCTGGAGGGTCTCCCCGGGACGACTTTTTATAAGCTATACCAACAACCATCCACGGCCCTTGCGATCTTCCGGCGCATGCTGCCCGATCTAGGTACATTGAACTCACCCACGTGGAAAGGAATCTTGTGCTAACAGTGCATATAGCAAAATGCTTTGTGATGGCTCTACTATATCTCAAAGACCCTCTTCCAACAGCTGATCTGGAAATTTGGGTCAACTCAGAGAGCAAGAAGTGAGTGGCTAATCTGACAGGTTTGACTCCAGTCATTACTGACAGTGTCCACACAAGGGAACGGGATAATGCGCTCTCAATCTTGGGTCGACTTCACATTCTATCTACGACCCTCACAGGTGAAAATGTCCGCGCATACATGATCACCAACCCATTCGCTGCTTCGCTTCGACAAGCTCTGATGGGTGCCGAGGACTCTCACTCTTTCGGTGTATTCTCTCAAGCTCCGGAACACACCCTGACCTCGATCGCCGACTTGGACGAATATGCTAGACGACAATGGGAAGGTGTTATGGGGTACATGGTTGGAACTAGTGCCTTGAGTGGACAGCGCGACGCGGTCAATTTGAGCAAGGGTGTCAAACAGCTTCTCCAAGCGGGACACCTAGTTGAGATCCGAGGCAACCGTGTCGACATCACCAAAGACGGGTTTGGATTTGTGCTCCAGGACGTGAACACCCAGGTCTGGCATATCTTGATTCTTTATGTCGAGAGCGCCGAGGCCATCGGCATGGATAGCGTCGAGGTTCTCTCATTCCTGTTCCTCCTGAGTAGTCTGGAACTCGGATTGTCTTACGACAAGAGCCACATGACACCCAACCAACTTCGCACTCTCACAGACCTCGCCGATTTTGGTATTGTCTTCCAGGAAGACGCCGACGCGACACGCTTTTATCCCACCCGTCTCGCAACTACACTTACATCTGACTCGAGCGCTCTGAGCAACCCTGTTACAGGTTCTCTCACTGGGCCAGTGGGGCCGTCTGGTGGCTCTGGCTCTGGGTTCATCATCATCGAAACCAACTACCGACTCTACGCCTACACCTCATCACCTCTACAAATATCCCTTATCTCCCTCTTCACAAACCTCAAATACCGCTTCCCCAATCTGGTCACCGGCAAAATCACCAGACAGTCTGTCCGTCGAGCTATCGAGATGGGAATCACTGCCGATCAAATCATCTCATATCTATTATCGCACGCGCACCCACAGCTGCGAAAACATAGTGCCGCTCAACCCAACGGCAAGGGTGTCCCAGCATCTGTGCTCCCGCCTACCGTGACAGATCAGATCAGACTGTGGCAGCTGGAGCGGGACCGTCTCCGGGCCACGGCGGGATTCTTGTTCAAGGATTTCACCAGCTTGACCGAATATCAGGCCCCTTGTCAGTATGCCGCGGAGATTGGTGTGCTGGTTTGGAAGTCAGATCGGAAGCGTATGTTCTTTGTCACGAGGCATGAGCAGGTGGCTGCATTTTTACGAAGTCAAAAGGCAGGCGGGAAGTAACATAGTTACGCAAGGCATAAGACCTCAGTCATTATGAAATTAGAAAAAGCAGAAGACAAGATCTTGGGGGTGTTATGGAGACTGGAAAGCATGTTACGAAATTACGACCCATGGCCGTTCGGCTGCGATACAAAAATTGTACAATAAACAATGAAAGATTATGATTAAAAGACTACCGCTCAGCTTTTAATGCCTTTTGTAATGCGTTATTGAAGTCGAATTTGGAAAGTTCCCGGGAAGCGTGAAGCTGCTTCGAAAAAAAAACCAAGGCTGAACACGGCAATCTCTGGATTACTCTCGATGGAAGGTTACAATATGGTTAACCTGAGTCCAGCTGCTCAGCATAATCAGAGCATGATTTGAAAATTATTAAGCGTCTAGCATTCGCCGAGTTTCATCTGACTACTTACAAATCTAGTACATACTGCACATGTGCTACCTACATACCTACGTACCAATCTTCTGCTTAAAAGTCACCCACTCACCCCCAATCCTCCTCCGATACGTAACATAAGTATGCCCCCCAGCATCATCCGGCAGAAGAACCCTAACATCCGAGACCCTCGCCTCGGCCGGCACCTTCGGCACAAGCAAATCCTCATTCCGAGGCACAATATACCCAAAAGACGAATTGACGCAGACATCACCAGCATAAAAATCCCCCTCTTCAACCCTAATGATCTCCTCCACAACATCCGCCAAAAGCGAACCATTCCACAGCCCCTCCCGATGCGGCGCAGCCCTTAACGCCCTCACAGCCTGTCGCCGGATCCGCGGAACACGGCACTTGATAGCCGTGTAATATACAGGTGGGATGTACCCCATCTCAACGGTGAATTCGTTCCTAGTATAGCCCAGTGTCTGCGTATAGTGGTTGACTATGGAGGACTTTTCAAGAAGCTCTAGCAGAGAAGCTTCTAGGATCGTGTTCATGCCGGACACCTTGAAGTCATGGAAGGTGGCTTTCAGCTCGTCGCATGCGCTGGCTATCTTAGAGGGATCATTTCCGTGGAATGCTGTTGCTGACCAGCTTTTCCAAACATCGAGGAAGCCGGCCATTATTCGGATGAAGCTCTCGACGAAGCCGTCGAATATCAGCTCGGATTCCGTTTCGTCTGGCAAGAGGCAGACTGAAGCCATTATTGTGGCCATTTCGTGGTGCACCCGTAGGAGGAGGTAGCCGGTTTGGTCTTTTTCTGATATTTTGTTGGTTTCGAGGTGCGCGACTGAGACGGTGTATGTTTTTCGCCAGAGGGATAGGTCTGCGAGGATTCTGCTTTGTGTATTGAGCATTTGTTGGTTGCTGGTTGGGGTCTGGGATACGTGGTGGTCGTGGTAATGGCTTTTTAGGCATTGGACTCTGTTCAAGAGGTCGTCTAGGCTGCGTCTTGCCTCTAGGAGGGAGGTGAATGTAGAAGGGAGACTGGCAGTTTGCGGGTCTGTTGTTACAAGATACATGTGTGAAGGCATCTGGCCGAACATGGCTGATTGAATGCCTAGTCGGGAATAGGCGTCGACTAGGGCGTTGTAAGCGAAATCTTCTTCGGGAGGTAGAACGGTCGGCACCATGGATGACAGAGAACGTGTTGCGGATATATCGGAGAGAAGCTTCATGCCATATTGGAGATGTGCACATCCCATCTGATACTGCCCGCGCATGTATTCTAGAGTGATAAAGAGCATGCATGTAATCAGCGCTACCCGGAGGGAATAGCTATCGTTGGTTGTATTGGTGCGTAGATGTTGAATTGCCTTGTTATATTGCAGCAGAGTGAAACGCTCCACATCATATTTATTTAGCCCGGTGACGTATTGCTGCTGGAGCCGATGCGCAGACGCCAAGGCAATGACAGCATGGCGCACGGCGGGTTCCTGTGCGCTAGCTTGGAAAATTAAGGACTCCCAGAAGTCGGACGGAAATAAACCAGCGAACTTCCTTGCAGTTCGTTTGATCAGCCAGTCGAAGCACAGCTGTTCCTCGTGGCTGAGGTTGCCGGCTGGAACCGGCGTACAATAGACTGATAGAGCCTGGTTGCTCTGTGGCTGCCCGTATGGAGTACCACCTCCTCCCCAAATACCATAGCCGTCGCAGACTCGGCTGGTTGATACACAGCGTCGGCAAGCTGGTCGGCCTTCGTCACATTTGACCCGGCGGATTCTTGACCCAATTAGGCAGACCTAAAATGAGGATGGGTAAATACTTACTTGCAAGTTTTGCAGCCTGTTTTGGACTTTTTGTGGACGAATGGAACTTGTCCGTGCATAACTGCTATTGAGAAAAAAAAGGCAACATGGGAATCTCTGAAACACAAGGCAGGTGTAGTCTACGAACGAGAAATAAATAAACTGTGGATAACCTTGGAACTATGCCAAACGTACCAATAGGTGGTGTGCTTCGCATGGATTGGATTGCACGGAGGGGAAAGTGGAACTCATCGGAGTTAACTCTTAACTACGGCAATATAGGATTGGTGTGCTCGCTTTTGCTGTATTTTTATTGGCTGTGAGTTATTAAATGACTCCACCTAAACACAAAGGATGTATAACTGGCTGTGAATGACGTCCTTTCTATGGACTCGGCCTATGGATAGACTCAATGATCGTTGGGAAGTTAGGATTGAAAAGACTTTTCGTGTTCCGTGTACGAATATAAATAGCCCTGCTGGTTCCTGGTATAGGGGGCATTATCTTTTTCGCTACAATATCCTAATTATATTGTTCACATCTTCTCATCTGGGTTCTCTTTTGATATTATTCCAGCCATGTCTCTTCCAACTCGATCCCTTGGCCGCAACGGCCCTCAAGTCCCCGCAATTGGTCTTGGACTCATGAGCCTTGGCGGTATCTATGAATTTGCCGGTTCCCTCGAAGATAAGGTAGCTTTCCTCGAGCATGCCCATTCGATCGGTGCGCGGTTCTGGGATACAGCCGACCTGTACCTTGACAGTGAGGAAACAGTAGGAGAGTGGGTGAAGAGGTCAGGAAACCGCGATGACATCTTCCTGGCTACCAAGTTTGCCATCCAATACGACGCCGCCACAGGTATCCAAACAGTCCGCTCTGACCCCGAGTATGTCAAGGCTGCTTGTGAGAACAGTCTGAAGAAACTCGGGGTTGAGACCGTTGATCTTTACTACTGTCATCGGGTAGATGGCGTGACACCCATTGAGAAGACTATCGAGGCTATGGTTGAGTTGAAGGAGTAAGTCATACCCCTTCGGTTTAAGAGGCTCTAAACCTGACGAACTATCAGCCAAGGCAAAATCAAGCATCTTGGATTGTCTGAATGTTCAGCTGCAACTTTGCGTCGTGCCCATGCCGTTCACCCCATTGCCGCGTACCAGGTAGAATACAGTGCGTTCGCCTTGGACATTGAATCGTCCACCACCGATCTTTTGGCTACCTGCCGTGAACTTGGTATCGCTGTCATTGCATACAGCCCGGTTGGCCGAGGTCTCTTGACTGGACAAATTCAATCGTTCTCCGATATTCCCGAAAATGATTTCCGCCGCAAATTCCCCAAGTACACACAGGAAAACTTCCCAAAGATCCTTGAACTAGTTCAGGGCCTGAAAGATATTGCCAATAACCATGGCAGTGCTCCTGCCCAGGTTGCTATCGCGTGGCTTCTTGCTCAGGGCTCTGACATCATCCCTATTCCTGGAACAAAATCTATCAAGAATCTTGATGAGAATACCCAGTCCGTCTTTCTCAATTTGACAGATACGGAGTTGCAAGATATTCGGGCGTTGATCTCGCGGACAGAGGTCCCTGGATCGCGGTATCCCGCTATGTGAGTTTGTCCTTGTAGTCCACGTGGACATGTTGCTAATATTATTTTCAGGATGATGGACAGCGTGCTTGGTGATACTCCGCCACTCTAGGTCTAGCAGAACCTCTTCTGATTTATATTGATCTACGATGGGGTATTTTTGTGTTTTTGTGTTTTTGTTTAGTGTAGCATACATTTATCTACGAACACATGCTATACCATTGAAAGATTTATTTATACCGAGTAGATTTTTATTCAAATTGTACCTGATATATATACATACCCACCTGGGCACTCTCGCGTGGCTTACTGATATTACCGATTATTGGTTACAGCGCACTTGGTTTTCTATGAGCTCATATTTTGGGTCACTCATTGTTGATTGGTCAATTTGAGAACACATTGGCGCGATTTGAAAGAGAACCCAACGAATTACCTAGGTAGTTACCATGTGGTTAATTAATTGGTCAAGGAAGCACAAAGAGTGATTGACGAGTGTCTAAGAGCCCCAGATGCTTCAATTCGCTGTGTGTCTACTATGAAATGGAGTGGATATTGCATAAGATCGCGTTTAGAACTAAATCGATTTCGCTCTTTTTAGAGAGATTGGGTTGCGAAGGGGCAGAGCGGCCAAAGTTCAAATGCCTGATTTTGTAGGAATGATGCCTTGATATGCCTGAATTATAGACTACTTTCGACACCGCTCTATACCATATACTGTAAATTGAAGCTATTCCTACCATATACAAGAATAGTTAATTGGTTATACGGCCTTGTCGTGTCTTTTTAGGTGATATGTTTAGACATGCTTTTGGCTAGTCTTTTTAGATGTTCTTTTTATATATCTTTTGAAATATCTTTTTAGATGTCTTTTTAGGTATATATAAAGGCGGCAAAAAAAAGCACACGTATAAGAGACTTTGAAATCTCTATATTACTCAAAATTAAAGCTATTCCTACCCCACAAATCATCAGTTTCTTCGAATCCCCAACATCGAAAAAGTCCCAAACCGCGTAAAATGCCTCCTTATGTTAATCTCGAGAGATTTGGTCGGTCGAAATAGCTCCAACGCCTGGAAATAGGCGCATATAGTGATTTACGTGTTAGGAATAGCTTCATTCTTATGAACTACTAGGCCTACGGGTGATCTGTTATAATTTAGGTAACTATTTTGATTTCTGCTAGTCTATGTAAAACAAGGCATAATTCAGGCATATTCAAGCACCAAGCCTACAAAATCAGGCATTTGACCTTTGACCGCTCTGCCCCTTCGCATTGGGCGCTGTACCTAGCCTGAGCGGACTAATTATTGGCCATTTTGAGTACACTTCCAATCTTTCGCTCTGATTGGTCACTATGCGTTCAGTTTTATCTCCTATCACTGATTGGACACATCGAGGACATACTAGAAAGGTATATTATGCTTTACTTGTTTCTTTACGCCCTCTTTAATCAAATTCTTGTTCATGTCCTCTGTCACTATTCCCAGGGAAGACATAGAAAAGAAAATCACCTATAAAACCTTGCAAAGGTCGCAATTTACTAGTATCGAACAGTCGCCTTCTGCCTTTCATATTTACAGATGATTCCAAAACTTGAAAAATGAAGCACCCAGAGACGATAGCGCCCAGGTCCGAGCACAGTTCATCAACGATGGATGCTTCGGACGCCCCATATAAAAAAGAGACGTTCACTGGCAACCAGTACTCTTCTCCTTCTGATGTTGAAAAACCATCGCCGCATCTCCCTGCAACAGGCGACCTAGAGCCTCTTAACATCGAGATCACTTATCCCGAGGGTGGTCGCGATGCCTGGTTGGTGGTATTGGGTGCGTGGTGTGGCTTGACCTCATCACTGGGTATCTACAACACATCTGGTGTGTTCGAGGTCGTTATATCCAAAGTGATATTACCGGAGGCTTCTTCGTCTACTATTGGCTGGATATTCTCAGTCTATGCCTTCGTGAACTGGGTCTGCGGAGTACAAATCGGACCGACTTTTGATGCCATGGGCCCGCGTGCACTGATGGTTGCCGGGTCTATTTGCACGATGATTGGGATTTTTACACTGAGTGTCTCTACAGGTAAGATTGGTTCTCATTTAACACCACATGCAATCGTCCATGCTCGTACACTCTACTGATATGCACGTTCCATTACTAGAATATTATCAGATCTTCTTATCATTCTCCATTATGACCGGCGTCGGCTCATCCCTTCTCCTGACCCCATCAATGGGCTCCGTCGCTCATTGGTTCATGGAGCGTCGCGGCCTTGCCAGTGGTATAGCATTCATAGGAGGCGGTTTTGGCGGTGTTCTCTTTCCCCTGATGATACAATCACTCCTCCCTCAAGTTGGTTGGGGATGGTCGATCCGAATACTCGGATTTGTGCTTCTTGTACTCTGCGCTATCAGCGTAGCATTTTGCCGAGGCAGAATCCCTCCCCGAAAAGGAGCTGAAACAACTTGGCAGGATACATTGCCAGATTATAAAATTTTCCTGGATGGAACAGGAGCCATGGCACTCACAACCTCCGGAGTCCTTTTGACGGATTTGGCATACTTCATCCCGATTACTTACATACCACGTTACTATATCGATCGACAGCATCTGTCTGACGAGGAGGCCCTGATGGGATCGTCGGCGTTTGCATACCAGCTTCTCGCGATTCTCAATGCTGCTTCGTGCGTTGGCCGATACGTGGCGGGCGACATGGCGGATCGATTTGGCAGATACAATACCATGATTGTCTCGTTGTTTTTCTGCACAGTATCAGTGCTAGGTTTTTGGTTACCAGATATCCTTGCACCAGACCTCGATTCCTACGCACTATTGGTAGTCTTTATCCTACTATTTGGGTTCTGCAGCGGTTCAAACGTTAGCTTGACACCAATATGCCTGGGCCAGCTTTGCGAAACTCAAGAATATGGACGATATTACGCGAGCTGTTTTACCGTAGTATCCTTTGGGGTACTGGCAAGTGTCCCCATTTCCGGTGGTCTTTTAGATGTGGTGGGGGGCACAGGGAAAGAAAAGTACTGGGGAGTTGCTCTTTTTGCTGGACTTAGCTATGTGGGCGCTTTTTCATCCTTTCTATGGGTCAGGATTAAAGTGAAGGGGAGATATTGGAGGATAAAGTGGTAAAATACCAGGTTTTCGAGGGTTCAAAGACCACAAAAGGCTCGCAACCATGTATTAGATCAGCCTTGACTCTCATATACCAGGACTGATAATGTTTCAATGCAACACGTTACCGAGACTGTTTCACTTGATCAACCTGATGGACCCTATCTGGTCAATATTCCCCAGTAACCTTTTTATATATGAATATGAGTGAAATTAGTACAGCACCTTTGCTTCTCCTGGATAGTATAAGATGGATAAAATCACGTCAAAAACTGCTTCAGAGGCATATCGGCAAACCAAAACTACCTGCTATCCATTTGAGATTTCTGACCGTCGAGCATACATGGCTTATCATCTGGTCTACCCTACGCTGGCCTTGGGCTGGGATCCCTAATCCCTACAACAGGCACCTATTCCCCTGCCACACTAAGCCTTCTTGGAAGTATCATAGCTATCCTAGGCTGTTCTCACCATGCCCAGTACGCGCAAGCTCTGGATCACCAGGCGGAGGTGCGAAATGATTTGCTGTCAATGATCATATAGGGCACTGGTTGGCCGGAGCAGCAAAGCCAGCGTAGGTATAGCGCTGGGTCGAGAGTCTATAATAGGGCGGTGAGTCTCCACAGCAAACCTTAGAATGAGGTGCGCCACCTCCGCATTCTCGTGGGAGCTTCCCCGTCCCGCAGAGTTAACCTAAGTATTCCGGAGAAAACCTACTAACGTCATCCTACGTCCCTATATTCCAGTATATATAATTAGTCCTCTCACCATGCAAGCACAACCTTCGACATCGATCGGTTCCGATCAGTTCCAAACTTCCCACGCTCGTTGGCGCGCCCTCACACACCGCACTCCTTCCTCCCACTCTTCCTTTCTCTACGGCGTCAAATCTACCAAGATCTACTGCCGCCCGACCTGTCCTGCACGCCTTGCTCGAAGAGCCAATGTTGTCTTTTACGACACAGAAGACCAAGCGCGACGCGATGGCCACCGGCCCTGCAAGAGATGTCAACCGGATAATGCGAGCTTCGTTGGAGAGAGGGAGGAGGTTGTCACAAGGGTTCTAGCGCTTTTGCGGACTAAGCGGGAGGATCATGATCTGACAGTGAAGCGAGGCTTGAAAGAGTTAGCACAAGAGGTCGGTGTAACGCCGAGTTATCTTTGCCGTGTGTTCAAAAGGACGATGGGGCTTACGCTAGGAGCGTACATGAGAGAGTTTGAGAGGGAGGTAAGCGAAGGCAAGACAGAGAGGGAAGTTCAGTATCCCACCACAGTTGGATCTGGTATGGTTGATGCGGCGACGGGACTCTGGATGTCAGAAACAACGGCAGCGAGTCCCATGGCACCCGTTGAGGGTCCGAAGGAAGAGTTGGCAGAGCAGCAAGTGGGCAATGTTGCAGAGGCTCTGGACTTGAACTTCGATTTTGACGAGTGGTTCTGGACTGGAGGCTGCGTTCAAGAAGGCGCCATGAATGATAACTTGAACGCAGACGCTCTGAATCATGGCGTGTACAGATGGGATATATAAGGGGGTTGATATCGGTTGGGTACTTTCATTGGTATTTAATCAGTAAGCCCGGGAACGTCCAATTCCTGCGTATAACAAGCATTGAATAAGCACCTGGGCGTATAATAAGCACCAAGCATTCCAACAAGGCTGTTCTACACGTGATCAGCACCTCCAAATCTGAACCTGGGATGGCATCTATAAATGCAACGTATAAAACTGCAAATCTATAATATAGTCTCAGCCTTCTATAAAAATAGACTGAGAAATCCCCAAGGAAAATACAATATCTCGTATATAATATTATTGTGACCCCTCGCATCAAAAGAAACACGGCAAGTGGGTCAGATTATAATACCTTGACGAATTGTTGATCTTTATAATAAATTCAGCCAACTATTACACTTGGCCCACTTGGCACCCCTTGGGGGGCCAGAACGGGGGCACGGAAACCAGCCTCCAATAAATTAGGGGAAAACCCCGCGCCACTAAAAAAAATAAAATAAAACACGTCACGGTCCGTGTGGTCTCTTCTTCCCAACATATCAGATCTTCCCAATGTGGTCATGTCCTCACTCAGTAATTCCAGCCCAGGGAACTGGATCACCGGCAGCTACACGGGCAACAGTATTGGTGTCCGTATCACTATCGCAACCTTTGTCGGAGTCGCATGGTACAACGTGATCGAGCTAGTCGTGCTCGTCTTCCTAACCTTCAAACGCTATGAAGGCCCCTATTTCTGGAGTATGCTGATAGCCAGCGTTGGAATCCTGCCGTATTCGGTCGGCTACTTGATCAAATTCTTTGGCCTGACGACTGCAACTTGGGTGCCAGTCACGCTGTTAACAATCGGCTGGTGGACCATGGTAACCGGTCAGTCGTTCGTGCTGTACTCGCGCCTCCACCTGGTGATCCAGAACTTGCGCGTACTGCGCATGGTGAGAACTATGATCATCTCGAACATTTTTCTGCTGCATATACCCACAACCGTGCTCACATACGCGGCCAACTTCTCCCATTCTCCTGCCGCGGTTGCGGGGTACGATGTCATGGAGAAGCTACAGCTGACGGGCTTCTGTGTGCAGGAGGTTATCATCTCTGGGTTGTACATGTGGGAGACGAATCGCATGCTGCGCTTGAATCAGGACCATGTTAGTCGCAAGACTATCTTGCAGCTACTCGCTGTCAACGTGGCTTGTATCCTCATGGATATCGCGTTGATGATTATCGAGTTTAGGGACTACTATATCTACCAAACGACCCTCAAGGCCACGCTGTACAGCATCAAACTGAAACTGGAGATTGCAGTCCTCGGCAAGCTGGTCAATATCGCCCACCAGCACATGTGGAGACCCTCGTCTTTCACTACCGCCGGCGGGCAGTACCCGTCTTTCGTTGACCCGAGCCGTGCCTTGCACGATTTCAGCCATGCAGACTCTTTGGCTACCAGCTCGGGATCCAAAGGCCGCACCTCTGGAACCGAGGCTATCGACAGCGACGTTCGATGAGTTTGGATGTATTTCTACCTCTCTCAAAGTCTTATACCAAGCCAAATGACCAACTTGGTCCATCCCACAGTATTGTGATATCACCTTGCTGTGCGTGAGGCAATCATCACCCGAAGTGCTCCCACTCAACCGTCCCCAACAACGACGCAACGGGCAGCATTCGCTTCGCGCCTGTCGCTCAAGCTTTGACCTCCCCGCTGAGGCTGAGGCTTAGCTAAATCGGTAACCAGCCATGGAATACCCCATGTTATCCCGCCTACATTGGGTCATTCCTCCGAATGACCAAGAGCGAACAAATTGGCTGCATGGAAAGCGAGTGTATTTTCGAGTATGCTGGAATGCCTCCCCCGCGCAAGCCCGGGAGAATCTAGTATTTGTCTTCATCCGGCAAAGATAGACATATCGGAATGCCATGATCTCATCGCTCTGAAGCTGCTTTGGAGCATGTCCAGCCTTCTGGTAAAAATAAATTTCTACAACTTGGAAAAATCACCGTTGAGTATGAAAGTTTGGGGAGATACATTTTCCCAATACAAGACCGTTCGTCTTTCTGTAGGGCCCAGGCCGCTTGTGCACTGCATAAATTCATAATAGGTTGGCCTAGGAATTTGTCACTACAGAGTATACTGTAAGATAGGAAAGCACTGGAAATGAGCGAATGACCTTGGAATATGTGTTATTTTTAGCCAATAGATTAGGCCTTTTTTGTTAAGCGAACACAGACGACTATGTGTTAAGAAAGGCGATAGTTGTAATCCCAAGGCCGAGTCGCCCAGGGACAAGTAACTAGAAATGTTTCTCCAAGGTCCTTTCAACCTGATTTCCACACTTTTTCAACACACACCATTTTACGTCATGAAGTTAAATCGGCTGTATAGTTCCAACCGAAATCGCTTTCTTCTAGGCGGGCGATGTACAATATCTCCAGTCCGAAATTAACCAACTCAGCCCCGATAACGTCATTTTCATATTCCAACCGAAAAAATCCCGAAGAAAAAAAAAAGTCGAACGAAAAAGTCCAAAATCCACGTTTGTGTCCTTTGCCGATCCGAGGTGAAGCGCCTACAACCGGGCCGGTGATGTCGGGAGTGGGGGAGATAGCGGATAATTGGCACACACAAGATGTTGAACATTTGAAGTGAAAAGAAAAAAAAGAAAGGGTATATTTGTCTATGTATCTGTATCTATAGCTGTATCTGTATATTTATAATTTATAAGTCCAAAGAAACCTCAAGATCCCTTCCGACCACCAACTTGATCATGCAAGTAAAGCCGGCCTTCTGTATTGACGAACCCGCCAATTCCAAAAGCGGGGATAATACGACACATGCGCAGCAGTGACGCGCCAATCCAGTCGCGACTGACACGGCTAATCCGGTCTTTGGTCGGCATCACCTGTGGCCGGTTATATAGATCCAGGCCGAGTAGGTGGATTGGCGTGCTGATGAGTTGGATAGAGGCTGGGATAGCGAGCTGTGCAATCAGGATCTTAAGGTATTCTTGGGAGGCGATGGAGTCCGGAATTGATGCTGAGACCATGGCGGGGAGACTGAAGGAGCCAAAGATTGTGAGAGCATCCCGGACGAGGAAGGCGGAGTATGTTGCTACTGGGATTCGAGTGCGGCCAATTGAGCGGGCCGTTTTAGGAGGCGAGGTTGTGTTGGAGGTAGAGGTAGAGGTAGAGGTAGAGGTAGAAGCAGAGGCAGAGGCAGAGGTGGAAGTTGGAGTTGGGCTTGTTGGGGTTGTGTTGTTTGTGGCTGGCACGGAGGTGTTGCTGTGGCCGAATAATTGGGCGAATTTCACGTCCTTCCAAATGCCCACGGAGGAGTTGACTATGAATGTTGAAGCGAAGGTCGTCATGCCAGCGATAGCATGGTCAATCTTCGGGTACCATTTGCTCAGGATGGTCTCCGAGGCATTGGCTGTGGCGAAGGTTGCGGTGTAAAGGGACCAGACAAGGAGACTGGGTCGTGATGTTAAGAAAGTTGCAGGTTGTGTGAGTGAGAACCACAAGTGTCTGCGGAATGCCGGGAAGAGAGGTTGGTTATAGAATGATTTCTCAACGACGAGTCTAGGCGATACTGTCAGTATATGTTGATAAGATGGAATCTGACTTGGCTTACCTGTCAAAGATCATCACCGCCGGCGTTATCAATGTTGCTGAACCTGCAGCAACGACTACATCGGCCGCCAATAGTTCCGCCATCCGGCTTTTGGTGTGCTGAATACCGAATGGCATGGCCTGCTCTTGGATTTGCTGTGTCATGGCTTATAATGTATGGTTTAAGCAGGCAATGCTATCATAATCTGTTCGTGACCGTCTGGCAGTCTGTTGAATTCGTGATGTAGAGACACCCCCGGGAAAGGTTTGATAAAGCTGAAATCTAACCGGACTGGCACTGTTAGATCAAATAAATCCAACACGGGGCATTCCATGAGACAACTTACTGTGGATCAAATGTTGATCAACGGAACGGGTTAGGGCTGCGCGACTTAGGGTGCACTGAAAATGAAAGGAGGGAGAAGAAGAGAGTGAATGGAAGAAGAAACCCCCTCCGTAGATATATACCCAGCACCTCTTTCTATAATGTAATGCCAACATCTTATCGAGAAATCAAGCACCATCGACATTTATAGATCGCCGGCTCAAAAAGACAACGCGTCGGCCAAGCGAACCAATCACAGTCCCAACCGGGCCGGCGGCCGGTGCTTGATACGGGCCGGTGATTGGTGCGGTCGCCGCGCCGTGATCGCCCTGATTAACTCAGGGACGAGATTCTAGAAGTTTGAGTTGTACTCCTGGGGAATAGGATGTCCAGGACAACGCGTATGCTTGCCTCAAACGGACTGATGTATGGTTACTCCCCGCATTCCCCCGATCTCAACATTATTTCCTTATTCTATGTTATTCGATGAGGTTTTTTTTCCCTTTTTTTCACCGACTTCTGCAGAGTGGGGTTACGATTCGCCTTCAAAAATCAGGCAGTAAAAGACAGTTCACTAACTATGGTTTCCGATCTGCATCCCGGCCTGCCCCTCACTAGTACAGCTTCACTAATACGAGTAATGTACATGACTATGGGGGAGATAGAAGAAAGAAGGCTGATTGGTTATGATAGCAAGTGGGAATGTCTCCATTTCTATGTACTGTTCTGTACTTAAAAAGGTCAAATGGCGACTCAAAATGTATGAAAAGCAGCCCTGGAGATACCGACTACATGAAGGCTTAACAATACCCCGACAAAAGCTTCGTCTGTGTTTCTCCAATAGCCGGACACCGACAGATAAGCACCCCGAGGAATATGTACGGCCATACCTTTCCACTGGCCCTTTCACTTCATGGTATTATGATTGACTATAAGCGTCACATTCCATGTTGCCCAGAGTATACCCACGCATAGAGTGGCACACCAAATATTGTCGGGATACAAGTCAAGATTTGAGCATTAAAGATCGATTTCGTGTGGCATTTCTGTGTGGTCACCACCGGGCACCAATACACCAGCAAGTGGA